TTATGATTCTCTGTCAATCTGTAATTGTATAATCATATTAACGTTGTTAGGTGCTTTCTGTCATATGTTGAGTAAAGCAAAGACCACAAACATCAACTTTACAATAGTTATTCACCACTGAATCCCCATCCTACCACAATACCTGAGATAGAGCAGTCATGCCTTTAATATTTATCTAAGCAATGAACACATCATAAAACCCAGCTGGATAAGTTTTTTAAATCCCCTAGCTGGGGAATGAAGATGTCTACGCACTCACCCCTGCGTTACTACATTTGATCTATGTGACTTTGGGCTGTGACTTAACTGCTGTTTCTCATGATAATAAGAACATAGATATTTATAGCTTAGGTTCTTGTAGAGTACATTAAATAATTTATAAGAAAATGCCAAAATTTGAAAATCAAAATAAAAGATGACGATGTCACAGGTGGTCTCATTCTAGGTGGACACTAAGTTTGTCTGCTTGATTTACATTTTTTAAATTGATTATGGTCTAAATTCTATGGAGCTCTAAGTTAACTTATAGAATATTGATAATTGCAAAACATTTCTGTCTGGTAGAAAAAATATAAGTACAAAGTCACAGCCTTATTGGCCTAAAATACATTCATTTTGAATTTGTCAGCAAGCAGGTTTTTCACATTCCTTTGCTGACCGATGTCAATCTCCCATCCTCTGTTGCTCTCCGAAGCAGGATTCCTGTCTGCTGGTTCTTTTATTAATGAGTTAAATAAATCTTTGATAAATGCCGTATATACACATATATGTTTATGTTTTTAACTTTGTAAAAATGTAATTTGGTAGTACATAAAGAACTTAACACAGGGCTTGGCAGGTAGGCACTGGCTAATAAGCATTAGTTCTCAACCATCTCTCTGAGGGCAGGGTCTCCATTTTCTCCAAAAGTGTGGACTGATAATTGTTTGGGCACAGTCTGCTTCCTGATCCATGACTTTTGCTGCTGCTGTGAATGAGACCTATTGTGGCAGGTACCTTTTGTGGCAGGAGACGTACTTTGCTGGGGTGAGAGGATGCTACTGTCTGCTCATGAAACATAACCAGCAGTTGGTCTCCGGCCAGACACCACAGTCCCTTTCAAGGATGTCTGCTGTCCAGAGGGCTCACAGCATGCAAAGTCACCAAAGAGCAGGCAAAGCTGCTCTTTGGCAACTGAGCTGGCTGCTGTCAAACACAAAAGCAGTGAATCTGCTGATAGGGTAGATTTGAGGCCATGTCAGCATGCCGGTTCTCTGGCACACTCCCAATTAGAATTACAGAAGTCACTTTAACACCAACCTCCTCTTAAGAGCAGGCAACTTTGAAGGTGGTGTGGAAGCCCGGGAAGGAGAAGATGTGCTGACTTAGCCTCCTGGGCTTCTGACAGATCAGAGGAGAAGTACTAATGACAGATTTGACATGAGCATAGGAAACAAAGGATCCTGGAGCAAAAATAGAAAGGGCAAGAGTTGGGACAAATGTTCTAAAAAGAACAAGTTCAAGCTTCCCTAGAAGGAACAAAGAGATGGGGGAAAAACATGTCCTTAGGAGCCAGGACACACCCATGATGATTCAGGGCTGGTGGCAACTGGAGTGATCTGAGATGTCCCTGGGAGTTAATATCCAAAGCTGAGCAGTCCACAAGATGGCAAGGATGGTGTGGAGGCTGTGTATTCCAAGTGTTTGCATCTCACAGACCATCTTTTAGAAGGCTGTCTCTTTAAATGAAAATGTAAAAGAATAATAATAGTAATAATAGATTAGAGCAGACTTTACACATTCTATTTTACTGAAATTTGTCCTTTTTTAGTCCCCAGAACTATCATAGTTGAGTTCTAGGAAGCTTTTTACAAAGCTAAGTATCATTTCTAGTCATTCATCCTCTCTTCCTTTTCCTCTCAATATGCAGCTGATAATCAGCTCTATGGAGAGAGCTGGACTTTTGGTGAGGGCGAGGAAGGAGAGAGGTATCATTTTGTAACAAAGGTTGAAAAGTTCTGGAGAAAAGAGAAGATTTCAAAGGAAGTAGACAGGAAAGAAAAACAAGTGGGAATAGACACATTTCCCTTTCTTGGCAATTTCTATACAAAGCAGGCTCGAGTGAAGCACCTCTCAATGTTAATATCAGTGTTTACTGTTCAAATTTCTGAGCCCAAATCCACCCATCCACTTATCCACCCATCTATCACTCCACCCATCCACCTATCCATCTATTCACCCATCTCCTCCACCCACCCATCCACCCATCCATCCATCCATCCATCCATCCATCCATCCATTCATCCACCCATCCATCCATCCAGCCATCTATCCATCCATATATCCATCCATCTATCCATCCACTCATCCATCCATCCACCCATCCATTCATCCACCCATCCACTCACTTACCCATTCAACTATTTATTGTGCATCACTATGTACCAAGCACATTATTAGACAGCGAGGGTTCACTGATAGTTTAAAAAAGTAAAAATCTATGCCCTTTTGGAACTACCATTCTAGTTGATGTCCATCATGTCAATGCATGGTATGAGTTTACACTCAAGATTACATTTTGTGTACAATAACCAAGGAGGTAAATTCTGACCCAGATATTTCAACAAAAGCACCAAAGGGGGAAAAAGGCTTCATGGGTCAAGTTTAGCCACAAACAATGATCAAATGTCTTTCTCTGGGAGGAGGTACAGAATTCGAACAGCACAAGAATTAGATTACCTGAAGGACAAACCCTGAAATGGAGGAAAAGTAGCCTCAGAAATTATCTTTGATGAATATGCATAGTCTTCCTGACAATACCTCCTTCTTCAGAATATAGGTTTCCAAAAGCAGCAACACAATGTATGGTTCTCCTTGCACAGAGGAGACCTCAGCGATCAAGGAGATGCCCTGGAAGTGGTCTCGAGGACCTGTACCTCTGGCTGTAGTGAGACACCAGCTCTAGTTTCAAGCACAGCGAGGAAGGGTCACCACCAAGAACTTCTAGTTTTTTCTTACGCTAATGAACTCAAGGTTTGGAAGTTGTCTTTTTGACAAGACTCTGCTTTTACCAAGTAATAGTTCATAAAGTTGATTCCTTATTTTTATTCATCAAAGGCAGAGTAAACTTTGATCCTCAGATCAGCAGTACCTCAGTACTGAATTAAGGTAATTCTAGGCCCACTTCTTTAGTTGCCTTGTGATCATAAAGCAATGTCTGACTCCCAGTGTGAGGCATGAAATGCATACGGAGACCCTTCCCTCACTAGAAATTAAGGAAGCTGCTCAGGACTGCCAAGGTCTTGTTAAATAGACTCATGCATCAGAGAAGGTTTTCGCTGGAAATCAAAGATGGTTTGAAAATCCATACAAATGACTAGTGCAGAATATGGTGTCAAATATATTTAAGTCATAGTACTGCTCAAAATAGAACACAGCTGATAGCACACCTGGTCATCTTCTTAAGATGCTGAAGGACCAACTCGTTATTTTAGTAACATAAAGAGAAAGTAGCAAGCCTTCTGTGACTTCTCTGTAAATTTATCTCAAAGTAAAAAATTGGTGAAAGAAACTCTTTTTATAAACTTTTTGCAGTTAATATATGAAGAAAGAATGACAGATTATCTATTACCTGGATGCAAGCCCTGATAAACTAATGGGTAGAGGGTGGTGTTGGCAAATGTATGGCATGTGTGTTGTTTTTATTTTAAGATGAAAGATTTTAATGTATGAGTTATTTTTTTCTAAAATAAAACCTCAGTGTTGAGGTGTAATTGCAGTGCTGGCACTTTGATAAATAAGTGGGTCTGGCCTTGCAGTTTGGCACTTGGTCTCTCAAAGGATCCCACCATTGGTCCAGGCTATCATTCTGATGGCTGATAACATTCCCCAAAGAGAGGTGACTAGTTATCACACGGTTACTGAAGCAAGCTCAGATACTGACTCAGAGGTGCTATGGTAGAATAATCAAATCTTCATGTGATAGTTGCTAGATCCTATTACCAATCTATTCCAAATGGAGAGGACCATATTAAGTAATATCACAGGAGTATAACTGGTAAAAACAGGACTGTGGGAATCTCTCCAAGACAATGACCAAGTATCTTCAATAAAATATTTCAAGCAAAAAGTTAAGAAGAGAGGAGAGGAAATTTACAGAGTAAAAGCTATGAAAAAGTCACAGCAGGTGGAACCTCTTGTTTTAGTTTTTTGAGGAATTTCCATACTGATTTCCATGTTGGGAGTATCAGTCTACACTCCCACCAACAGTGGAGAAGGGTTCCTTTTTCCCCACAGCCCCTCCAGCATTTGTTATTGGTTGACTTGTTGATGATAGCCATTCTTTCTGAGGTGAGACAAACCTTTTGTAAGTAAAGAGGAGAAGAAAGGTTGAAGGGAGAGGATGGGGATAGGGAAAAAAGAAGAATCAAGATATCATGTACAGGTACAAATTCCCTATGGTGAATGTGATCATTATGCATATCAAAGTATACCAATAAAATTAATTTTTAAAAAGAAATCTTCACCAAGTCCCCCTCCAGACACAAAAATGGCTTTTCCTTTCTTTTTCCTAGGTTTGCCCTCTTTCTACCCTTAGCAGATAAAATGGGCTACTGGTGTCATAATACACAGTTTCATCATAAATGCTTCCTTAGAACGTGGGCTTTCTTCCTTTTGATTAAACCACTTACTAGTTCACTCCAAGTGTCACTTGGGCAGCATGCTTTTTTACATACTGACTATCCCAGGTGCAGCTTGGGCAGGGGTCATTTCAATCATGTATTGAATAAATTTCATAAAAGTATATAAAAAAGAGTCACATCAATGAGTTACAACGTATATAACTATATTAGACTTTCCATTGCTGGGACAAAATACTTGACATATGCTCGTTAAGGCACAAAAGGTTACTTTGACTCATGGTGTCAGAGATTTCAGTCTGTGATAGGCCAGCTCCAAGGTGCACACAGCCCCAGGGACCCACTTCCTGCAAGCGGCCTCTCCCTTGGCTACGAACTCACCAGTGGCTGGATCCATTCACCTGGACCCATGTTCCTGTCACATTCTGAAAGCCCCATGTCCGGCACATAAGACTTCCAGGAGGCACTTTGCATCTAAACCATGATAACGAGGATCCCGCTCAAGTGCGTTGACAGGAATCATTTGTGATCGCTGCAGTGAAGTTGGAAACTGACGCTTGACGGAAAGAAGTAGCGGTCAGAACGTCCCCCGGAGTCCTGGATGTTCAGTAGTGGGGTTTGGGGAGGTGGCCGGGTCATGAGGGTGCCACGCTATTCTGTGGATGAACCCACTAATGACTTCCTCGCTGACTGTGTTGTTACAAGGTGGGGCCTGGGCAGAGAAGGGCCCCAGGGGGCGTGGCCTGGAAAGGAGTGCAGAATTCTTGCCTCCAGCACCTTCCTTCTCTCTCTACTTCCTGTCTGCAGTGACGTGAGCAGCTTCCCCCTCACAACACCCTTCCACCATGCCTCTGCCTTGGTGCCAGACAGCCATGGACTAAATAAACCCTTTAAAGCCATGAGCCGAGATAAACCTCTCTGCCTTATGCTGTGGGTGTCAGGTATTCTGTCCCGAAGAAAGGAAAGTGGCTAACGGAGTTACTGGCTTTCTAGATGTAATAATGGCACCATGAGTTGTAGTTTAAAATCGCTTTCTTAGCCAGACGTGTGAATGTATGTCTATAATCCCAGCACTCTGGGAGCCTGAGGCAGGAGAATCACTAGTTTGAGACCAGCTTGGACAATTTAGAGACTTAATGAGACCCTGTCTCAAAGTTTAAAAAGGGCTAAGGACATAGCTCAGTGAGAAGGCTGTGGATTCAACAGAAGCAAGGAAGAGAGGAAAGGAGGGAGCAAAGGAGGAAGGGGCAGGAAGGAAAGGGGCCAGCCAACCTGACCCGGTTCTTATGTTTTGGAGATTCGTATTAAAATACATATGAGGGGCTGGGGATTTAGCTCAGCGGCAAAAGCGCCTGCCTGGCAAGCGCAAGGTCGTGAGTTCGGTTCCCGGTACCGGAGAAAAAACCAAAAAAAAAAAAAATAAAATAAAATACATATGAATGTTATGGTGTTGTTTCTGGGATTTAATTATTTAAAATAATTCAGTAACGGGTTATAGAAGCATAAATAAAACAAATTACTGTTGATCTGGTCGATAGGTACATGAAAGTTTGTTACAGTAACCTTCCCACTTTTGTATAGAGGTTTGAAATTTCCACAATCAAGAAGCAGATTTGTTTTAGACGTTAGTGAATGATCTAAAGCTGGCGATAGTGATGGTTGAGGAGGAAGCTCGCCGTGTCTCAGACACAGCTAGTGACGGTTGGGAGCCATCACATTTTTCAAGGCGTGAGAGCCACGCCCCTAGAATATAAAGACAAATTCTTTATCGAAAAGCTCAACATTACACAGACAGAAATTTCATGCTAGTGTCCAGGTTTATTAATAGCAGCTTAGTTTTCCCACCAGCATCACGCTGAGTCTCAACCTGCTAATATCCTGGGTTTCATTTGCTTTTACCGTATTTGAAACACTTTGACAAACTGTTTTTTGAATGCCACACACTTTGAGTTTTGCTTTTGCTATCCAGCGTTTTGGGTTTTATAGGTATTTTTCTTGGGGGACGCACTGATACCAGGGTAGCCTTTTTACAGAACGGTGGCATTTACTAAGCTCACAATGGTGAGCTGTCCAGCCCTTCTCCGAACTGTGCGGACCCATGAGAAGAATGCACTGCGACGCAGCTTCTTCCCACCGGCCTGCCTCCTTCATTCCTCACATGATCATACTTAATAAGAAGCACAAGTGAATATGCAAGGGGCAGAATTCATTTTCTTACTCAGCATATACACTGACCACGCCTTACACGTGCCATGTCTTAGACACAGCTAGTGAGGGTCAAGAGCTGGCACAGTTTCCAAGACACGAAAAGCCAAACACCTAGGACATAAAGACAAATTCTTTTCAAAACTCCTGACATTGCACAGACAGAAATTTGAAAGTATAAACCCTTCTTAAATAGCTCTGTTAATGTGTGATGTACGGGTGTACCTGTATATTAGATATGCCTACAAAAATCTCTAATTGTAAAACTTTTATAAATCTGATAATCCATTATCAGAGATTTGAACTACTAGCTTTAGTATGCATGTCTTTAAAAATGTAAAGATGCAACATTTGTTGAGTAACAGCAATGAACTGACAGATGGAAAGATTATAACAAGTACTGCAAAAAAAATAATCAGAGTCGAATCTTTGAGTGCGCCTAAACCACAAAGCACTAACTTCAATTTTTCAACAATTTTAAAGCATATTCAAACATATTTCTTTTATCAGCATACAGATTCTTATATCTTTTTATGACAGCAAAAATACTCCCATTGGTAAATATAATAAATCTTAGATATTATTTTGTTTTTGGTTCACCTTTTTTAGTTTATACATTTTACATGCTATTTTACACACATAGTATATTAGTATCAACTATTGATAAGTAAGTACAAAGGGAGGTGCCCTCAAAATATTTCACTGAAGGAGGGCATGTTCAAAATAGTTTAGGGACTATGTACTTACAATGATTAAAGGTCTCCATTTTGAAATCAGATTGGTGAGGTTTGAATTCTGTATTCATTGGCCGCTGATTTTTTTTTTTTTTCAGTACCGGGAACCAAACTCAGGAACTTGCGCTTGCCAGGCAGGCGCTTATGCCACTGAGCTATATTCCCAGCCCCTGGCCACTGATTATGAGGCACTGGAACAATAGCTTGGCTTCCGTAGGCCTCAGTTTGTCTGTAAAATAAGCATCTTACTAGTGTTTTCCCTTTGATTTTTTGTACAAACTAAATGACATTGTGGGTGAAGTTGCAGTTCAACCCCTGACACGTGGTAAATATACCATGATGTTAGTTAATTGTCATTATTATTACCCTCATTGTCTTTATCATCCTGTGACAACCAATCTAGTCACTACCACCTGCTATGGTCTAAACAATAAAACTTAAGTGATCTCCAGTGTGTCTTTAAAAGGAGCTCACAGTTATGTAAGAAATTCTGTCATTATTTTGGCAGTTTTACTAAAGACCTGCTCCCGTAGGTCAGGGTCCCTGGAGATTCACTTGAATGATATGATATGCACCAACATGGTCAGATCTGAAATAACTCAGGAGCAGAGAATGGAAGACCTTTTCCCACTAATTACCTCTCTTCATTTGTTTACAATGTGCACAAATGAGAAATCAGAAATCAGGCAGGAAGAGGTGTCAAACACCTTTTATCATCCATCTCTTTTCTTCCACTTCTCTGATTCTGCTGTGTGGGTGCGTCCCTATTTCCTTAGAGCAGAGCAAACTTCTTAAGAATTTAAGAGAAGCCTGCACTTCACTTAGAAGTCCATGACTTGTGGAAAGTTACTCACTTCCCAATGTCCTCTGAAGATCTTAGGTCCATGTATCTTAAAGACCTATCAGAATGACCTGGAGCACTAACACAGCTGTTTATTTACATTTTGCGAAGTTATCATATGTGTACTCTAATTCCTATTTTAGCCTCTGCGTGGATGACACTACTTGTTACTGGCGATTCTTGCAGACAGGCTGTCTGTTAAATAAGCAGCTATTACCGTGCTTCCGACCAGATGGCTTCCTTATTTCAATGATCTGCAGCCTTGTTCTTTGGGGTGCTCAACCTGAGAACTAATGGACACAGGCAAAAGTAAGTCTCTCCTTGCAGAGCAAAGGGGTACTTTGTGCCGATATTCTTCCAAGAAAACTTTAAAAATGAACTTCCCTAACTTCAGAATGAGTGTCTCACTGAACTTACAAGGGACTGGAAGCAAGGGAGCAGTTAGACTCCAGTACGGATCTGGCTGCATATCAGGGGTGGGCGACTTAGCAGACACTGACTGATCATAGAGGACATTTTCCCTGACCAGGTGCTGAATGACTGAGCTCTATGGGGCAAATTGCAGTAGTGAAAAGTGCAGGTTTGGTGTCAGAATGGCTTTCTGCTCCTACTTCTGTGGTTCCCAGCTATGTGGTCTTTTAAAATATTTATTTATTTATCTATTTATCTACTTATTTATTTATTTGCCCAGCTATGTGAACATCTCATGTGAGCGTCTATCATCACTGTCGTGGTGATGATTATCTATGAGCACCAACTCCTGCATGATTATTAAGAAGCAGTCTGACACTTGCCCGTGGAAATGGAAATGCTTTGGTGAGGTTCTAGTTCTGCCTTTTTAAATGGGTCTCTGGTAAGGCACATGCATACACTGTGAAACTTGGGGGTTTATCTTCTCCAAGTAGAAAAGAGGCTCAATAAAATCTGCTGAAAGATTTCTCCAAGTGGCAAGCCAAGTAAAATGCAATGCACGAGGAAGCAAATGCCAAGTCCATAAAGTAGATCCATGGGAACGTAAAACTACACATATTCAGCTCCATAATCCAAGTGTTAATGAAGTTCTAGTATCAGAGGCCACTGCTTGAGCAAGATTCGAAGCCAAGAGCTGTAAACACACTGTCTTTTGGGCTCCTTCTAGCAATTCTGAGACGTAGCCACTGCTATTATCAGGGAGATAACCAAGTCTCAGGGAGACCACATAATTTGCCCAAAGTCACACAACCAGAATGGCAAACTCCAAGTCCCAGCCTAGTGTCACTGTTTGAATAACCTCATTATATTCCTTCCAAAGAGGAACACGAGTGTGAGTGCAACCAACACACTCAAGAGCACTTACATTGGAGATGGCAAGCCTATTATTTTCCTGGTCTTATGTAAACTTAATTGTGCTGTATTTAGATCAGGCTAATACTATTTCTTCAGGCTTATCCTTTGAGCCTGAATGGGCACTGACTGATGGGAAGGAAGAATTCTCACAAATATGTTGGCTAAATTATCTTTCCCCCACTTCCTTCCCTCCTTCCTTCCTTCCTTCCTTCCTGCCTTTCTTCATTTTATTGAGGGTCTACTATGCATAGGTAGTGTTCTAGGCTTAGCAGATAGAACCTTGAATAAAATAGCTATAGTCCATGTCCTTAAGGAGTTAACTTTTATATACTGTCATTTGTGTACATGAATACAAGTATTTAAATTCGAGAATTTATATCCAAAGGCTTAAAATCTTTTGATTTCATTTTAGGAATTTATCCTAAGTTTATGAGTTTTCCTACCAAGGAATGATGCCACCACAGGGGTGTTGATAATAAGTAAATGAAGACAACAATATAAGTGTAAAGCAATCATTCTTTGAACGGAGTAACTGTTGAATTCCCATACAACAGGACATTACTGCAGCCACTGGCAATGACTTAGAATGTCATGAGGCAATCTAGAAAGATGTTGATAATCCAAGAGTATGCATCATATATTTTTGTAAATCATACACACAGAAAAAGTAAGGCAACATAGTCACCAATTTACAGTAGTGTTTTTGAATAACTGGCTTGTGAGTGATTTATATTTCATTCTGTTCTCTTATTTATGAGCTCTAAATTCCTCAAGTGGAAAACTGCCACACATCCAAAAGGAAACTGCTTCGTAAATGTTACAGTCCAATTTCTTTCCATCTCAGATAACTTGCTCTGAGCCTCAGCGCTCTCTGCATATCTGCATCTGCATCTGATGTCTACATATGTATCTCTGAAATGGGGTAAAGAAATGGAAGTAAGAAGTGATGATTGCAGTGGTCATTAAGCCAGTCAGTGGCAGATAGTTCGGTGAGGAAGTGGAAAACTATATGCAGTTGGGTTCAACAAAAGTCACCATGCACCTCCGACCAGCTCTACTTAACAGGAGCGAACTGCAAATGCCATTTTTTTTTAGCCTTCTTTTACACATCTATAAAAGAAGGGGCTAGGGCAAATGACTGTGAGGGTATTATGAATGATCAAAACGAGTTTTCTTACTGTGTCAACAGTAACAGTGGCCACTGGACTCCAAGGCATTCTGGAAAGTCGTCTTTGACAGAGCTATGTGTGGAGAAAGTAGCACTGTAATTAAAAGGAATGACAGAGTCCTGGGCCTGCAGAGGCACTCTTAGGTGTTTTCCAAGTTTAACTGGAAGATTTTAAACAAAGTTCTCATGCCTTTGTTACAGCTGTGACAATCCTGCTATATGTATTATTTTTAAAACAGTGGCACTTTTATCCCTACAAGCAAGCTGGCACCTAAGGAAAAATGCAAATATATTTACCAGTGCTCTTTGTGCAATACTTTAATTCTCCACTAAAGATCTAAGTATCCTGTATGGAGACAGAACAACGCAAGAGCTGATGAGAGGAGACAATTTTCTAGGTCAATGAAACTGGTTTAAATGTATTTGGGAGTCTTACAGCAATTTATTCTGTACTAACTGGATATTCTACAGCAGTGCCATCCAGCAGGACTTTCTGTGACCAGGAGAGTGCTCCAGACCTGCCCTGTTCATTATGGTGCATGGGGAGGGGGCTGCTAAACGACACTTGGAATGTGGCTGATATGAATGAAGAACTGAATTTTAATTTAATTTATTTTAAGTTAATGTAAGTCACGATGGTCCACCACACTGGACAGCTCAGTTTAGAGCCTCACTGATAGAAGTGTAGCCTGTGGATAACAGCATTTACATTACCTGGAAATTGATAGAAATGTACAATCTCATTCCCTATTGGAACCTACTAAATCAGAATCTGCATTGTAACAAGATCCTTGAGTGATTCATACAAAAACATAATGCACAAGAAGTACCACTGGAGACAATTGTTCAACCTTCCATTTCACTGGATGAGTCAGTCAGGCAACTACTGATCATCTTTTACTCAGTCAGCAGGCTCCAGTCTCTGCCCAAGGCACTGCATGCTGGATGAGACACAAGTGGGAAAATGCAACCAATTAGGAAGGGACCTCAAGCCATCTAGCAAAGGGAGTAAGAGGACGAGCTGCAGATCGAACTGCTCTGCAAATACCCATTTCTAGATGTGTTATCTTGAGGGTCCTAACTTACGTCTCTAAGCCTGTTTCCCTTTCCTTTACACAGAAACAACTGTAAATGAAATCATGCATACCTGATGCTTAGTCCCTGCCTGGTATACGACAGTCACCCAAGAATATCTTAGTTTATCAAAGTTATTACAGTAAAGCTGTAGGAGATTCCCACTCTTAAACTAGTAGATGGGTCATTATAGCAGATGAGAGTGCAATAATACACTCTGCTGAAAAGATGATAATTCTCAAGTGACCTCATTTCCAAGGAATGTCAGCTGTTACCGAATTCAGGGTGTGGGAAGAGAAAGATGCTTGAGTCATGCATACATTCTTCATTGAGTAAAATATCCTAAGGTCATCAGTTCGTGTGAGTGATCAGTAGGTGGGTTTAGTTTTTAAAGGCCATACTGCCTTCCTTTGGACCTTGGCATATTTTCCTAATTAAAGCCCACATAACCATCGTTCATTTATTTAAAAAATACTTGCGAATAATAGCATTGGGGAGGTAAGACAATATGGAAGTTGAAGCTGGATTCTATAGACAGTCTAGACTGGAAGCCCAGCCCTGCTCCTTACTGGCAAGCTTTTATAACTTGCCTGTGTTTCTGCCTCTTCATCTGTAAAGTGGGCATGACATTGGCAGCAACCTACAGGACTGTGAGAAGTTAAAAGAGCTGATATGTATAAAGTACTTACTAGAGTATTAGGTACTCGGCCATTCAGCAAAAATAAGCAAGACAGGTATCAAGGCCAAAAAAAAAAAAAAAAAAAAAAAAAAAATCCCCCCCCAAAAATGCATATCCACCGTAAGAAGTTTTGGAAGCACTGCTGCTCTTCAGGAACTAGCTCTGCTTTGGTGGATGTTCTGATGTTGCAGGGACTTTTGAATGCAAAAGAACAAATATTTGTAATGCTTTTGAAACATAACATCCAATATTTCATGAGAGGTAGAATGTTGCATCACTCTTCTTTATTTTAAAGAGAATACAAATTTTCAAAAAAAGAAATTAAAAAGATACAGAATTTCAAAACAAGATGATAGGAAATCAACAATGGTTGTTATATTGCATATTATTATCTTGAAAGTAGTTGTTCAGATTGCCAGATATAGACATGCAGATATAAGTACGTAAAATACTGAAAGAGTAAACATCACTCTTTATTTGAAACAGGGTCCTTTCGTTTTATGGTACTGAGGATGGAACTCAGGGCCTTGTGTGTGCCAGTCAAGCACTCTACCACTAAGCTCCCCCCTCCCAGAAGTAGGGTACTTTTGCTATTTTCCATAACTGCAGTCTTCTTGGAAGGGATCCAACACAGACCTGAATTAAACAGAGCCCATTTTGGTAGACCTGTGCACCAAAGTTATCCAGGAACTGAATTAAAACTGGTGCAAGAGATTCAGCATTGAGTGAATACGTGCAGCAGACCTTCCATTTCTTTCGTATTTTCCAGCATTCTGCTAACCAGAACACGGACTTCCGGACATGAGCCACTGTTAGAAATTGACAACTACAAATCACAGGGGTCCATTCCCGGCGCATTCGGACCCTGGCCACAGAAAACATAGTTATCTCATATGGGTTGGAGATTGGGTCATTTTCAGAGGATAATCTAGTTTTAAGAGAATTTCAGTAGATGTGCTTATGGGTTTCCAGTGTTTAGAGAAAAAGTTTTAAATCCTAAAACCTTCCTGAGTATGTTTTATCTGTGTGTGTGTGCTTTGTGGTTGATGATTTGATCCTCAAAATCATGAAGAAAAATTATAGAAACACTGTGGAAAATCCCTTGAAGAGCAAAAGCTCCAATTAATATCCAATTTATTGTCTGGTCCTGTGGAGCTCTCTGGGTTATCCAGAGAACTGAAGTCTGGGCAAGGTTCTTGGAGTTCCATCTCCCTTATGCCTCTGAGCTCTAAGTCCCCTCAAACGAACAGGAAAACCAAGGAAATACATAACCAAACTTGGCCAAGATAAACTGTGAGTAAATGTGTTGGTTTCCAATCCAGGTATCTCTAATTTAAATAAAATGATGACAGGGATGGTTAGGAGCTTAGGTTCTGAAACTGGTGTGAGTTTAATTCTCAGGTCTGCCACTGACTATCAAAGAAACCCTGGCAGGTGACATAAAGCCTCTGAGGGTCCCTCAGATGTAGAATGGGGAGAACAATTGCACCAACCAGGTTAACTTGCTGAGACAATTAAAGACGTTACCACAGAAGCTTGCCTTTATATCAGTATGTGTGGGTGCTCTTTTAAGAACTTTTCATGTATGGCCTGATAGCGCCTCACAGTGGACCTCTGTGGACCGTTTTTATTTCCCCATCTCTCCCATTGCACATGAGAGAAGATAGAGGCACACATATGTAGCAAGCTGGGGAAACCACTACAAGGCTGGGGGCCGGCAAGTGAGAAGAGGGTGGTATTTGAACTCGGGGAGCCAGATCCCGGAGTCCACATGGTCATGCCTGTGCTGTGAGATACAGAGCTCAGGTGTTGGTGCTTGGTTCGTCTTACTGATGATTGCTATTATTTTATAGTATTTCTGGCGGCCAGCAATGACAGAGCAGACGCTGTTGCTAATGACCCTCCCTTCACCACTGCCTTCCCTAGAGAAGGGAGGGCCCAGCAGACACTTTTCCAGGGGCTGGGACATCTGTGTTCACGTTACTAAGGCAGAGGTAAAGTGGCAGAGAACATAAGAGCCCTGCCTGATGGGTAATTTGGTGTTGGTGGTTCAGACGAAGCATATTCTAAAGTCTGATCTCGCCTTTCTCCTGCCTCTCAGCTCGCAGACTGTGAGGCCGTAACCGCCCTGGGGCAGGCTGTTCTTTAGATCACCGCCAGAGCCTCCCGGGTCTCAGCAGGACTTCCTCTGTGACTGTAGAGTCTGTCTGGTCTCAGAGCCGCCCACAAGCCACCCTTACTGTTATTGACCATCTTCCCTCTGAGCTCGGGCTCTTTATCTTCCTCACAGAAGATATTTATTTAATTGAAGATTACAATAGGCCTCCTCCTCAAAATCTTGATCCCGGTCCCGCCTCGGGATGACTGCACACACTGGGACGTTCTCCCGCTGGGTCTGGGCAAGGCCAGCTCCCTCTCCCCTAATCCTTCCAGGGTCATCTTCAAAGCTGCCTCCTGGAAGAGGCCTGCCCTGGACATCCCATCTGAATTTCTTTCCCTATAACCTTTACGTCACCGGTGCCCTGCTTATTTCCTCATAGTACTTCCATTTGGAAGTACTGGTGATCTAGTTAGCACAGTCCTGAGAGGAGGCACCTCGCGCGGGGCCTTGCGTATCTTGTTCATCACTGCATCTTGTATCTTAGCTTGCAGATAAACCCTAAACACTAATCCACACAGATGTACATTCATTCCTCTGTATACTAGCTTTGCTCCTCAGACTTTCCGTATTTCTCTAACTGAGATTGCTAAGATCCTTCCTACTTCGCTGACTTGTTTGAGGCTTTTTCTCTTAGGTCTTTATTCATGTATTCATTCATTCATTCATTCATTCATTCATGTATTCATTCATTCATTCAACAAATCTGTACTAACAGCGAATGAAGCACCAAACACTGGGGCACAAGGTGAATGAAACACTCTCTGACCCTGTGGAACTCGAAGTCTGTGGGGCAAGGCCGACACGGACAGGTGCTCCCAACGGGATGTTCTGCCTGCTGCGATTGGAGTTGTGCATGGGGAGGGGCGCTCAGCTGAACCTGGCCAGCAGGGGGAGACTTCCTGAAGAAATGAAAAAGGAGCAGGAGAAGGCCGAGTACAGAAACCACGCTGACAGCGCGGTGCTAAGTGGTCAGTCTGATGTCTTCATTAGGGCGAGGATGGCGTGGACCCGTCGTAGATGAGAGTCAGGAATCACGTACTAAAAGCCTGGAGCTTCATCTGTAATCGCTGGGATCCTGTAAAAGCTGGGAGCTATGGAAGGTGTTATTGAGGGGAATGAAATCTTTAGGGAAGGTATTAAATAATTTCAACTTTTTAAGAAGCCTCCTTATAAAGATACCTGTCCTGAGCTCCTGCAGGGCAGCAATTGCACTTGGTCAAGTTAAGGAAAAGACTGAGGTCCGTGCTAGAGTTACACAAAAGGATCAATGATGTCTTAGGGTGACATCATACTTTTTTTTTTTTTGGTGGAGGCTTACAGCAGAGAGAATTTAGGTGTGGCAGTAATTGCAGCTCTTCCTTGTACTGGCATCATTTTCTTAAACTAAGAGCTGACTTGGCTCTGACTGAAACCATTTCTGATTCAACTTAAATGACCTGCGCAAATACTATCTAGAATGAACATATTTGAGGATAAGCGAGAGTACTGAACAAACTTAGGCATGTTAGCCCTACAGAGAAAAAAAGCAAAATCTAAATATATTCACTTTTATTAGGGAATAATGACATTAAAAAATATGCTGCAGGAACTCTGCATAAATAAATTGTTCCTATAAAACACAAGTTCCTGTTAATTTAATATTTAGCAATCACCTACTAGTTAAATAAATATTACTAAGCTTAACTCATCATTTCTCTTTTTTTTTTTTTTTTTTTTTTGTTTTTCTCCGATACTGGGAACCGAACTCACGACCTTGCGCTTGCCAGGCAGGCGCTTTGCCGCTGAGCTAAATCCCCAGCCCCCTCATCATTTCTCTTAAAGTGATAAGCATGCTTATGTTTACAATTTCACCAACTGCATAGTTTTTTCTTTATTCTGAGGAGGGAAAAAAAGAGGGAGAATGAAGTGAGACAAGAACAGACAGATCAGGGAAATTAATCAATGCACAAAGCTAATCTTTGTCCAGAGGTTTTCTTCCAAGGGAAATCACTTTGTGTTACATTATGGGTTGTTTTTTCCAATTTACAGTACAGTTGTTTTTTACAGTATGGGCTGTTTTTTCCAAGCCAGGAAGTCACACTCTAACTTTCTGTTGCTGCTGGTGGTGGGGAGGGAGTAGTGAGTCCTCTCCTCTGTCCCTTCTCACACATTGGGACCTGTACGTTCTGCCCGGTGGCTGTTTCGTTTTCTCGTGAGTTGGGGAGAAGCTTTGGCTTCTGTGTGAGTGCTCAGCACCCGGCCCCGGGCCTCCAGTGCATGTTCAGAGAAAATATTCCGTAAATAAGGAAGGAAGCAGCCAATCCCTCTCACTCCACTGTGCCTCGTGCCTGGTGCAGAGGACAGGCAGTGCCTACCACACAGGCAAACTGAAAAGGTTTCCTGGAAGGAACCCATGACGAAGTAATCTTTGAAACTGTAAAATGTAGCAGACACACGATGATCCTGAAGAATACAAGCAAACTTAATGTGTAACATCCACTTCTTCATTCAACAAACACCGAGCATCTGTAGGGTTCCATAGCTGTGACTCTGACTATCACAATATGGCTGAAAGACACAGGAGGGAGTAGACGATATACAAATAAGGGTCCTATAACTCAAACATCCCGCACACAGACCAGAGCAACGGAGCACATCGCGGGAGATCAAAGGTCTACTCATCTTCACAGTTCAGCCCAAGTTTCCCACACAAGTTTCCTTCTCCCCACGTCGCTCGACCAATAAGGTCCCTTTTCCTGGTCTTCTTAATTCATTTTCTGCACAGCTCCCTGTGTATCACTTTGTGTCCTAATAACGGGCTTCCTTGATGGTATTTACACCAGAGGACGAACGGTGATCTCATATATGCAGACATTAATTAAGAATCCCGCTCAGTGAACGAATGAAGAACTAGTCTCAGCAGCTCGCAGCTATGAGTCTCTTTAGATGCCAACAGCTAAACTGGCGTCACCATCAGCACTGCTCCTGGTGTCAACCTTCGGACCTGCTTATCCAGGCTTCAGTGGATGCCACTTTTCAGCGCCCAGTCACAGTGGCCATCTGCTGCCCAGAGCTCATGGGTGCTTGACTGCCCATGTCCTCCGGAGAAGAGACTTCCTGGGGAGCTTCCCTGCTGATGCTCATCCTGCATGCTCGGGGGGGCTGTGCATTTCTTAAACAGAAGGGGCTTGTACATCCAGTGACAGCACACAGGCTGCTCTGAGGCCGGTCTTCCTTCTTTCAGATCTGGGCTCTGTCACCTGCTTTCTCAGTGCCAGTTTGCCTGGAGTGAACCCCAAGGCCCGTGTGGCGAAGGCCTGGCCCACAGCTTAGTGCTACGGGGCAGTAGTAGTGCTAGGGATGATAAGAGGCGAGGCCTACTGCAGGCCTTCGGCTTCCGAGGGGTGTTCCCTGGGAGGGAACCCTGGGGCCCTGCACTGCTCTTCCTCTTGTTTCCCGAGCACTCTAAGGGGAGAGTTTTCTCTGCCATGCACCCCCACCACAATGTACTGCCACAAGCTACAGCATGGGCCCAACTGATCATGAATGGAAATCTAAAATTATACCCCAAGTAAACCTTCTCCCTCTATACAATGATTACCTCAGGCATGTTGCAGTAACTGGCGAACACACACAAGTTCAATTATTCAGTACTTTCCCTCGATATCCTGGTGTATTCTCCGTGTGTGTGTGTGCGCGTGCGGGGGTGGGGGGGAGCATATAGTACTAGGGATTGAACCTTGTGCACACAGGCAGATGCTCTATCACTGAGGTACAAAAATCTCTAG